TTTATTTCTAAACAAACACTACCTCATCACTTTGCCTCGTTTTCCCTGAGGAGTGGCTGGTGGATCAGAATTGCTGACCTTTCAGATTGCAGCCCAACGGGTAACCACTCCACCATGAGAGCACCCTTTCTGAGATGTAGGGGTGCTCAAAACAAGTGGATTAATTTCTTCCCTTTCTACTTTGTTTCATCCACTTTTTTGCTTCCTTTGAAAGAATTTGGGAGAAAAGAAGATAGAAAATGAGGAATACTTGTTAAGAATCAGATTTATTTCTGAACAAACACTACCTCATCACTTTGTCTCTTCTTATCTCTGGTTTCTCCATTGTCTGATACTTTTCATTTTAAAATCTTATTCCTTGGGGGTGGCTGTCGGGAGGAGGGGAGTGGTGTCGGGAAAGGGGCGCGTGAAATAAAAAAAAATCTTATTCCTTGTCTGCATCCCACCCACCATCCCTTACTTATCGATATTAACTCATTTGCTTAATAATTTTAGAAACAGAATCAGTTAATATTATGTCCATATAGACATGTACTTTGCTCAACTCTTTTTATCTAGTACTTGAACAATGCTTAGAGTTGAATGTTGAATGAATGAATGAGGACCATCATAAGTGAATAGATTTTGTTTTTAAGGCTATTTTACTCTGACCTGAGACATAATCATACCCACCTTGACCCGACTTCCACGAGTTTAGGACATGAATTAAAAAAGGAAGAAGAGAGCATAAGGCAAAGTTGTTATTGTTGGGTGTTGCCAAGTCAGTTTTTCCCTCATAAACACCGCATGTGACAGAGTACAACCACCCCATCAGGTTTTCTTTTCTGTAATCTTTACAGGAGCAGATTTCAAGGTCTTTCACCATCAAGCCTCTGGGTAAATGTCAATTGCCACCCTTTGAGTTAATCACCCAGCACCTAAAGTGTTGCACCACCAGGGCTCCTTAGGGAAAGTATAAAGGTGCTATTGTTATTGCTAGCCTTTTTTGAGCATTTGATCCTTTTCACAACAAGTTTATGAAGCAACTACTATTGTGTTTCCGTTTCACAAAGGAAAAACAAGTTAGTCAACATTAACTAACTCAAGTTTGTCTATTTTATAAGTTGTGGAGTAGATGCAACTGGGCTGATTCTAGAGGTTACTTTTTAAGCCAATTCATGAAAGATAAAGCTCAAGCTTACAATGGGAGTGAGGTAGTTAGTTTATTGTGCCCACCCGGGCAATAAACACATGTGAGGTTAATTGAAATTCAGAGGGATAAATGGCTCAGCAAACCTCACCTTTCTAGTTCTTGGGTCTCTTGCTTTGTGATGGTTGGACCAGGGTGCAGCTGCCTTAGCCAGTTCCTTGCTTGAGCTGGCAAGGCTCACTTCCTGCAAGACATCCCCAAGGAGAAAAAGCCACATGGACCTACCCGTGCAGCCCTGGGTGCTGGAGCAGCCATGTGGAGACCCCTGCCAGCGCTGAGATGGTTACACGTTCAGTGAGTCAGCTTTCCTCCTACTGTCGGCATTATTGGGTGTGTTTTGTGAGATGGAGGAGGCCTTTCTATAAAACTCTCTCTTATACATATGAGTTTCTGTGGCTTTGTTTCTCTAACGTACCCTGACTAACACAGGGAGCAAAGGCACAGAATAAGGGACAGCAGAGGCTTATGAGAGTAGGCAGGTAGGTCTCACATTTGCTTGGAGTCAGTCAATGGAGAGGAAAGAAGCCCTACATGTCACACGAATTACATCCTTTATGTTACCTAAATTTTCATTACCCACTCAACTCTGGATTGAAGACTTGCTTTGGGTCCTTCTGTAAGATTCTCTGCTTCTCTAATTTGTTTTTTTGACCCAAGGACAAAAACTCTACTGGCCTTGTAGAGTAGTTATGCCTTATGGAAGGCATCCTAGTGGCACAGTGGTTAAGGTGCATGACTTCTCACTGAAAGGTGGACCGTTGAAACCCATCAGCTGCTCCGTGTTAAAAAGATGTGGCTGTCTGCTTGTGTAAAGACTTGAGCCCTTGAAAACCCAATTGTCTTCTGTTCTCCAGTGTTGCCATGAGTGGGGATCAGCCCTATGATGACGGGGTTGGGTAGATATGATGGATGGTAAGTTTGGTTCCTTACTCACATTGGAAAGTAGGAAATTTAAAGATTCAGAAATCATACAGGATTTGATTCTGTAATTAATATTCTGCCTTCTATGGGGTTATTCAGGTGCTTCTCTTTAGGACTATAAGCTCCCCAAGAACAAAAGCATAGTGAGTGAGCAACTGATTTTGTATCCTTCCAGTCCACTACATGACCCATCATATGATGATGTTCCAAAAGAAATTCATTCGATGTGTACAATGATTCAAGCAAGGGAGAATTGGCAATATATGACTAAATAGATTTTTTTTAATGCAGAGAATTGAAAAGAAAATTCCATTACTGCATAGTGAGCATTGAGCTTAAATTTCAATGAAAACGAATTCCCCTGAAACCTGAAAGAGAATGGTGTTATTGCCTTTATTTCACATGTTTGAAAATAGAAGGTCAGAGAGGTTAGGCAGGTTGTTCAAGGGCACACTGCCATCTGAAAACATGTCAACGGGACAGGGAAGTTGGGGGGAAATGGAGAGAAAAAAATGATCTAAAATTGATCACGGTGGTGACTGCGAAGCTTTTAAAATATATCTAAACCGCTGAATTGTATGGTATGCAGAAATTTACATCAATAAAATGGTTAAAAAAATAAGTCAATAGGAGAGAAAGAGAGAGATATGATTGGTGATGCTTTGATGACAGATATTAAGCATTAAGCCATTAAATGGTCTCTGGTGACTGACTATGGGATTTTAGGGCTTGTTATTGACCTTGAAATGGGCACTGTCTATTTAAAGGCCCGAATGGGATCCAAATCTTCAGCTCCATTAAATTCCTGGAACTATTTGTTTAATGATATTTTCTTTTAATGATAATGACTCATTCAATCTTATCAACCTGGCTGTTTCTTTCCTTTTTTTTTTTTTTTGCTCTATTTATGGATGCAGCTTTATTACATAAAAAAAGATACAAATGAAGAGACACATCAGATGAGGTCTGGCAGGGTTTGAAACATGGAGCTTCCAGTTCGTAAAAGCGATGTGTTCCTTTCCACCTCCCCGTGTGAATCATTGCTTTTGAATTAGAACCTGCCTATTTCTAATGCTAAAGTGGCAAAAATTTAGTGGAGATAAAAAATTTTTATTGGTGTTTTAACATATATTTTTAGAATTGAGTAAAGCATTATTTTATTATGAGGATCAATAGAAAAAGTAAAATCTGAATTGCAATTTCTTGCACTGCATAATGTGTTAAACTACTCTACTATGCTAATTTGTCCATAGCCTACTGGAGTCACAGTGGCTTGGTGATGGCTCCCAGACCAAAATTTCATGGACTCAGAAATTGTTCATGCTACCACATACTTACTTACCTTTGTGAAACAGTGCAGAGTCCCAAGACGTTCAGCAATGTTAATGATGCCAGGAAGAAGAAGAAATTTTCTAAATTGCCTTTGTTTAATGTGTTTGGAAACCAATTGCCTGTTAGGAACAAATGTAATTGTTATTCAACTGCAGAGATGTAAATTTCTGTGAATATTTTATCGTTCCACAATTCATAGCATTTTATTTGCTTCAAAAGCATCTACAAAGCAACAAAGCTCATCTGAAACTTCACTGCCAAAATTCACTTACTCCAGCAATTAATAGTAAAATGGCAATCATAGCATCAAATATTGTCAATATTTCGAAGGTCAAAAAACTAAATCCTCATAACATAATTTGAAAGTCATAAGAACTGAGTTCTAAAGGTTATCTAGTGTGATAGGTAGGCTTATTGTGCCAACCTGGCCAATAAGAACATGTGGGATTAATAAGGTCGCAGTTTGATTGAATGGCAAAGAGATAAATGGCTCGATGAGCCCAATCTTTCTCTCTCTTGCTCTCTGGTGATCTGACCAGTGTGTGGCTGCCTTAGCTAGTTCTCTGCCTCAACTTGTGAGCTACACTACCTGTGGGACAACCAACCCATGGAATCATGTCACTAGAGCTTGAGGTTCCTTCGAGAATCTGCTTCACCACGGTGCTGGTGTATACATCACTTGAGCTAGGCATTGTCAGATCCTGTCATCTGGGTGACTGTTGGTGACCTGCCTTGCTGCTTGCTGTCTGTGGTCAGACTGCCTGCATTGCTCTATGGAAGACTCAGCTGTCTGCTTTCTTGACCTTGGACTGAGCAGCCCTCCTGAGTTGAAGGACTTCTAGTATATTAACTGTTTCACGGAAGTGAATTGAACTGAGCCCTCTGTACTGCTATGTGGACTAATTAGCTGTTATATTTCTTTGTTCTGTATATATCTTTATCTATATATATATATATAATCATAAGTGTCCAGGTTTTGCTTCTTTAGAGAACCCTAACACATCTAGATTGTGCTATTAATTTGATGGAACCATGTTTACCTCACTCATCCTAACATTTTAAAATTTAGAACAATGAATGGCACATATGGATTGTTCAATAAATATGTATTGAATGAAAGATAAATATTTGTCATGACTAGGTATTGAGCCCTGACCAACAACCTTTTGATTAGCAGCTGAATATTTAACCATAGTGTAACACTTATTTTCATACAATAGTTTTAAAACAACAATGGGATCTAGTATTGCTAAATACATTTTAGACAGATGTATCACAGGATGTCCCAAAAAGGAAAATTTTTCTTAACAAAGAAAAATAAAATTCAATGGCAGTTATGAATGGGTAGAATATTTCTCCCAAACTGCTATATATTATAAGAGCAGATTTGATCATCTTTAAACAGTCAAATGCCAATGTTTTATAATTTTTTGCTTTTTGTGTGTTGGAGTGTTTCATACAATGAGTGGGGAAGACGGGCGTAAGACCAAAAACAAGCAGTCCATGTGCCGGCACACTTGCTCTTCAGTGTCGTCTTTGGTGCATGGGTTGTGGGTTGCTTCCTGAACTAGAAAATGGTTCTTGGCCTCTCCTTTGACTGTGAATCCTTTTAAATGGGATTTGAATTAAATGCTCTGTTCAAGGTTGATAGTCAGCAAGTGCATAAGTATGACAGCCATGATTAATTGTGCCACTTCCTATTTAAAGCTGTTTCTCTTCTGTCGTTTAACTTCCCAATGACCATTATTATGGATCAACCATGAAAATTAGCAGTGTCCATTATAGCCTTGGGCCCATAAATGAAAGCTAGTATTGAGTTGAAAGCTATTTTGTAAGTTCCAATTCCCCATTTTATTAATTTGTGTTCTATTATAGAGGAAATTTATGGTTTATTACTATATTGACATGAGGCTTTCATCTGATATTTGGATAGGTTACATATTTCATTGAATGCTTCCCTATTATCCATTTATTGAGAATTGTCTAGCCCTTTTAGTGTGTGTTTGTGTGTGTAAGAATGAAACATTTGACTACACTTGAGTAGGGGGAGTTGGGATAGAGTTCAAGATAAGGTAAAACAACGTCCCAATTAATTTTAGGAAGAACCAAGCCATCCTGTTAAAACCTACTCAAACAATCCTATGTACTTATTTCTGTTGAATTAATATCCCAAGTATATTTCTGTCCATTTCATTTCACATCAGCACTTTGCATGTCATGCAATTACAACATTTTACGACCATGTGTCTCCCTCTGGAGTAAGAGGAGTTGGCACAGACGATGTGATGCCTTGGAATTAACATGACGCTAATTTTTCTTGGAGCATGAATTTTGGCCCATAATAAGTGATTGAAAAGACTATCTTTATATTATAACAGTCAGATGAGGAAGGAGAACATAAATTTTGTAAGATCTTTAAAGGTATAGCATAATATTTCTAAGAAATTGTGCAATTACAACAAAGACGAGGCCTTCAGGAGACAGCACCAGATTCCCGTGGGCTTGCCAGTGCACTTGAGTTTATTGCTGGGAACTCTGTGGTGGGCAGAAAAGATGTCGGTGCAGGAGAGCGCAATACTAGAATGGTTAGAGGAAGGTAGTGGCAACCTATAGTTATGCACAAAACATTTTTAAATGGGTTATTGAAAATTATTGCCATATCACCTATTTAAACTTCAGATAATGCCTCTATATTCTTTCTTAAATAATATCTTTTAAGGTGCAACTCTTGTGCTCATCTTTAGTGACATAACTTTGCTTTACTCAGTTATAATTTAACATTATAATTTTACATAGGAGCTTCATGATAAACTGTCATCTGAATTGATAGCAGGGGACAAAAACTAGCATCAAATCTTATAAAGAGACTCTTCGTGAGCCCTAAAACTTGTTTTATTTAACTAGAGCTTATCTGTCGGTATAAAGAGACAGCACTGGATGTAGAAAGAGCAAGAGCTTTGAGGAAAAGGCAGTTTTTAAAAGCCAAATCTTGCCTCTATTATTTAATGGTTTCACTGTTAGGCAAATAGCTGGACCACTTGAGCCTCCATATCTCTCTTGTAAGACAATGACAATGATACCACCCTCAATGACTTGTTACGAGACATAAAACAGATAATGGATTTCAAAGGCTGGACACACAGGAGGCACTCCATGAATGTTAGATCGTCACCTTCCCCTGCCCCCTTTCCAGGTAGCTCACACACTAGCTTGTAGCCAGACCTTGATCTTAGGCCTGTGTCCTGTCAGATATTTCTTCATGTTCCATCTCTTTTTTTAATCATTATCCCAGGACTGGCTGTAAAATGTTCCATTTAACATTGTCAGTTGACTCAGCTCTTAGGTACTATAACTTTATTTTAGTAGCTTATAAACTTTTATTGTCATAATTCACATTTGTGCCATTTTTCATCTGACATTCCTAGTGGCTGATTGAAATCAGGAGCATCCTTGCAAAAGAAGACATAGTGGAGACTTTATGTCTTGAAAGAGACTCATTACACCGTTCTCAGTTTGGGTAGGCAAGAGGAATATTAACATGAGAATAAATATAGTATAAAAGAAGATCAATTTTATACCATATTTGGGTCACTTAAGTGCTATAAATATATATATTTTTTCATGCCCTCAGTGAACTCTGATTCCATTTAGGATATAACTGGCTAATTATTATCAAGAGTTAGATCACAGAGGTAATAGAGCACTCACAAAATATTTGGCATTGTCCACAGTTCTTGCAAATAGCTCTTACTTACCCAGATTTTCAGGAGCCTCAGTGGTGTAGTGGGTTATATGTTGGGTTGCTAACTGCAAGGTCAGTAGTTTGAACCCACCATCCACTCCTCAGGAAAAAGGTCAATCTTTTCCTCCCATAAAGATTTATAACCTTGGAATCCACAGGGACAACCCTATTTTGCCCTACAGGGTCGCTTTGAGTCAGAATTGATTTGATGGCAGTGCGTTGTCTTAAAGGCTACATTTAGTTGTTCATTTGGCAGTCATTAATTAGACATTTTTCATGTCTCAGGAAATGGAGACTGTAAGTTGCTGAAGAAAGCGAGCCCATACATTAGTAGATGAGACATGCTCTGTTATGGAGCCCTTACAGATACTAAATAAAATGTTTCCATTTACCTTACACTATTAAGGCCATTTCAGAGATAAAAAGGAGTATAGAATCATCAAGCTTGCTTTCTTGTTTTTATGGATTAAAATAAAAATGAGATAGAAGGCTTAGAGGGGGTAAAATGAAACATGAGTCAGTAGAACTCTATTGTCATACATTTAGGACAAAGACTACAATAGCTCCCTGTTGTAACTCAGTATTTTCTCAATAATGTGTGTGGTGCAATCATTATAACAGGGTACTCCAAATTCCACCCTGAAATACCCAGGTCATCTCAATTTGAATCCTGGTGTTGACATTTAACCTACTGTGAGATTCAGTAATTTGCCCTAAATTTAAGGATTTTGGTACTAAATTGAGAAACATATCTGGAGACTCACACATCATATACTATTAGAAACAGCACAAAATTACTAAATGAAGAGGAATCTTCTGCAATTATCTCCCATCTTATTCCCCCATCATAGACGTTAAAGTCAGTTCTAGCCAGAATACTATGTCTTGTTGGCTTATTGTATAATTACCATTTGGGAGAGCGGGGGGACGGGGAGAATGAGCCCACCAAATCTGTCTCTGTCACTACTCAGCATCAAGAACCTGTGCTTTAAAACTATATCAAGGTGTGCAACTCCCATAGCACCACAAGAGAAGAAACAAAAACAGGACAGAAAGCAGCTATACTGCATCACAAGTGGAGTCCCCAGAAGTAAACCATTGTAAGTGGGGTTGACCTCTGGAGGGCACAGGATAGCCAGGCATATCTCAATGTGCAGTCTGTGATAACTCTTTCTGATAAGCATGTTGAAGAACCTACGAAAAGTTGTGAATAACACTGTATGTCAGCCAAGCAGTTTGTTCGTTGCCGTATTTAGGTTTTGCTGGGGGCATGTTCACAGTCGACTTGAGTGGCCAAATGCAAAGTAACCAGCTAGTGTCATGTATCCATAGGTTCTCTCAGAGGATAAACATGACCTCTTCATAAATCTTTTCATT